GCTAGACAGGTAGATAGATAGATATGATTCTCACACACACAGATATAATATAGATTTGAAAGGGACCCTTAAAGAAGGACAATGATATGTCCTTCAATGATATGTCCACCGATGCTCAGGCGTCAGCGGTGTCCGGGAGGGCTTTCGCACAATTAAGACTTGTGCGCCAGCTGCGACCGTACCTCGCAAAGGCTGATTTGGCCGGGGTGGTCCACGCCTTAGTCACCTCCAGATTGGATTACTGTAATGCGCTCTACGTGGGGCTGCCCTTGAAAACGGCTCGGAAACTCCAACTGGTTCAACGGGCGGCGGCCAGGATGTTAACTGGTGCTCCTTACAGAGAGAGGTCAACCCTCCTGTTTAAGGAGCTCCATTGGCTGCCGTTTACCTACCGAACCCAATTCAAGGTGCAGGTGCTTACCTACAAAGCCCTAAACGGTTTGGGACCTGCCTACCTCCGTGACCGCATCTCCGCTTATGTACCCACACGCTCCCTTCGGTCATCTGGAGAGGCCCTGCTTGCGATCCCACCTGCGTCGCAGGCGCGCTTGGTGGGGACGAGGGATAGGGCCTTTTCTGTGGTTGCCCCCCGACTTTGGAACGACCTCCCCAAAGACATTAGACTAGCACCCACGTTGGCAGTCTTTAGGAAGAACTTGAAGACCTGGCTATTCCGATGTGCCTTTCCAGAATAGGATAACCCAGCACTTTGTCCCAGAAGCACTTTACTAGAGTTTAAGACTCTCTGCACATTGCACTTGCCCAGAATTCCAATACACCTCCTGTCACACCCAGCACTTTTTAACCTGTACCCATCATTGGCCCGGCCATGGTTTTTATTGTGTAATAGTGTAATGTTTTGTTATTGCTTATGTTTTTAATTTGCTTTCTTTTGTATTGTTGTTGTTTACTGCTGTTGTGTTGAGGCCTTGGCCTTTGTAAGCCGCATCGAGTCCTTCGGGAGATGCTAGCGGGGTACAAATAAAGTTTAATAATAATAATAATAATAATAATAATAATAATAATAATGTTGCATGTTCCAGGGTGGGCAAACCAGACATTCTCCACATCAACACTGACAAACAGCAAGAAATACTGTTTACCCAGAAGCATAAAGAAATTACATATATTAGAAACCAACACTTTCTCATTACTTTATTTTCCAGATGAACAGACTGGGCCACAGCAACACGTAGCAGGGGACAGCTAGTAATTAATAAAATAACTCTTCTCTTGCGAGCAATTAGGATTTCGTTAAAGAATGGCAGCCGACGATCCAATACCTCAACAAAAAATAAAGCTAAATTAGATGTAAAAATACCAATAGGAGATGCTATAAGGTGGTAGGCAAAGAGGAACCTGATATTAACTTAGAACGTATGATGCCCTTTTCTGGCCTACCAAGACAGAAGTCAGAGGGTCCTTAAACAAGGATAATATGTGCTAAATATTAATGAATTGTCAACAACTTGAAAATATAACATTGTACATAACAAGCATTTACATTGTATGCCATTTTAATAAATATATAAATAAATTAAAAAATGAGAGGAAGGATCCAAACTTTGACTAGGAAATAAATTTGTACTAGGTATACAAAATAAATAAATAAATAAACCAGTTAAAAACTTGGCATTACACTACATTTCCTTTGACCAGAAGCTGGCCACTTAGAGTGCACCTGGTGTCACTGTGAGAAGGTCCTCCATTGTGCATGTGGCCGGGGTCAAGCCACATTATAGTAAGTGGTCTGTGATTTACTCTTCTCCACTTTGTAGCCCCATTTCTTAAGACTGGCTCTGCATCTCATGGTGCCAGAGCGCAGCCTGTTCAGCGCCTTCCAGGTCACCCAGTCTTCTGTGTGTCTAGGAGGGAGTCTCTCATTTGGTATCAGCCACTGATTGAGGTTCCAGGGTTTAGCCTGCCACTTTTGGACTCTCGCTTGCTGAGGTGTTCCTGCGGGTATCTCTAGATCTTAGGAATCTGTTTCTTGATTTAAGGCATTGGCATGCTGGCTGATATCCGAACCGAGGATGGGGCAGAGATGTCACTGCCTTGGTCCTTTCATTGCTAGCTGCTGCTTCCCACAGATATCAGGTGGTACAATACCAGCTAAGCAGTATAATTTCTACAGGGGTGTAGGGTGTAGACATGATGATGCAGCACGTCTCATTTAGAGCCACTGTTTTAATATGGTGTGATATATTCCACACCGGGCATGCATACTCAGCAGCAGAGTGGCAAAGCGCAAGGGCAGATGTCTTCACTGTGTCTAGTTGTGATTCCCAGTTTGTGCAAGTCAGCAATGTGCACAGACCGGTCGAACCACTCAGGGCGGCTTACAATGGCAGCAATTCGATGCTGACAACATACAGCACACAAAATACATTACAACAACATTATTAAAAATATAAAACATTAGATTAAAATACATTAAAATGATTATTATTTATCAAGTAGCCAGATCCAGATCTGATTTAGCGACCGACCGCTCATCTGATGTAGTTACATGCATTATAGGGCCAATACAGGATCATCTGCTGCAGTTACATGCATTATAGGGCCAATGTAGACTCATCCAATGCAGTTACCCGCGTTATAAGGCCAATATAGGCTTATCCGATGTGGTTACATGCATTATAGGGCCAATATAGACTCATCTGATGCGGTTATATGCATTATAAGGCCAATATGGGCTCATCCAATTCAGTTACATGCATAATAGGGCCAATATAGACTCATCTGATGCAATTACATGCATTATAGAGCCAATGTAGACTTATCCGATGCAGTGACATGCACTATAGGGTCAACCCAGACTCATCTGATGCAATGACATGCATTATAGGGCCAATATAGACTCATCTGATGCGATTACATGCATTATAGGGTCAACCAGGGCCGTAGCCAGAAAAAAATTTCAGGAGGGGTTGAATTTTTTGGGGGGGGGGGTTTGAAAATTTCGCGGGAGGGGGGTTTGAAACCCGCCTCCTAGTTCACGCTGAAGCAAAGAGCACAGCAGGGGGCAAAGCAGCCTTCCATAGCCTGCAGCTCCGCCCCTGTCAACCACCTCCACCAAGTCTGGCCTCCTTAATGAGAACATTCAACACACACACCCACCCACCCCAACTTGGTTGCTTCACTACATCGGCTATTGCTGCAAGTAATGACAGTGAGAATAAATTGTCAATATTTGCCTGAGATAGTGCTTGCAGTTCTGGAGGGACTCTTAATTTTTTGCCTCTCATAGGCTTAGCATGGGGATTTGGTTAACCAGTTAAAATTCATGAGTAAACCAGGTTTTTTTAAAAATCTGAAACATTTCGGGGGGGGGGGGGGTTGAACCCCTAACCCCCCCCCCCTTCACTACAGGCCTGGGGTCAACCCAGACTCATCCGATGCAGTGACATGCATTTTAGGGCCAATATAGGCTCATCTGACGTAGCTACATGCATTATAGGGTCAATATAGGCTCATCCAATGTAGTTACATGAATTGTAGGGCCAATATAGACTTATCTGGTGCAGTTACATGCATTATAGGGCCAATATAGACTCATCCAGTGCAGTAACATGCATTATAGGGCCAATAGAGACTCATCTGATGCAATTACATGTATTATAGGACCAATATAGACTGATCTGATGCAGTTACACGTATTATAGGGTCAACACAGACTCATCTGATGCAGTCATATGCATTATAAGGCCCATATAGACTCATCTGGAGCTGAGGAGCCTTCTAATCAAGGTGAAAGAAGAAAGCGCAAAAACGGGTTGCAGCTAAACATCAAAAAAACCAAGATTATGGCAACAAGAATGATTGACAACTGGAAAATAGAGGGAGAAAATGTGGAGGCCGTGACAGACTTTGTATTTCTAGGTGCAAAGATGACTGCAGATGCAGACTGTGGCCAGGAAATCAGAAGATGCTTACTTCTTGGGAGGAGAGCAATGTCCAGTCTCGATAAAATAGTAAAGAGTAGAGACATCAGACTGGCAACAAAGATCCGCCTAGTCAAAGCCATGGTATTCCCAGTAGTAACCTATGGATGTGAGAGCTGGACCTTAGGGAAGGCTGAGCGAAGGAAGATAGATGCTTTTGAACTGTGGTGTTGGAGGAAAGTTCTGAGAGTGCCTTGGACTGCGAGAAGATCCAACCAGTCCATCCTCCAGGAAATAAAGCCCGGCTGCTCATTGGAAGGAAGGATACTAGAGACAAAGTTGAAGTACTTTGGCCACATCATGAGGAGACAGCAAAGCCTAGAGAAGACAATTATGCTGGGGAAAGTGGAAGGCAAAAGGAAGAGGGGCCGACCAAGGGCAAGATGGATGGATGGCATCCTTGAAGTGACTGGAATGACCTTGAAGGAAGGGGCGGTGGTGACGGCTGACAGGGAGCTCTGGCGCGGGCTGGTCCATGAGGTCTCCGAAGAGTCGGAGACGACTGAACGAATGAACAACAATAGACTCATCTGAAGCAGTCACATGCATTATAGGGTCAAAATAGACTCATCGGATGCATTATAGCAGACATGGGCAAACTTTGGACTCCAACTCCTTCACTTGGGCAGTTAGGAATTGTGGAGGGCCCAAGTTTGCGCATGCCTGAAGGGGAGACGCCCCCTCGAAGTGCCACAAGAGGAGCTTTTGGAGCCCGGCCAGCTTTGGAGCCCGTTCCTTGGACGTCACAAAGGGCCGCGACACAATGCCCGCCGGGAGGCGTAGTCCCTTTTGGAGCGTCCGCTGGGCGCCGCTCTCATTCCTCTCCGGAGGAAGGGACCACAAGCTCCAGCATGCATTGCAGCCGAGGCTCGCCCCGCCTTTCCTTATAAGTACCGCCATCCGGGGCTTTGGCGGGGCACTGCTGTTTGGCGACTCGTCGCCATTAAGGGGCAGCGGCGGGTGGCAGCGTTTGGGCGGCCCGGGGGGCTCCCTTGGGCGGCGGCGGCGGCGGCGAGCGGCTCCTTCCCTCCCTCCCTCCCTCCTTCCCTCCCTCCCCTGGTCTTGGCGGCCTCCCTCTCTCGGTCCCGCCGCCGCCCCCTCGGTTCTTTTCGGGAGGCCAACGATGTCGCCATGAGGGAGGCCGAGAGGAGCGCGCCGCGCCGACCCCGTCGCCGCCGGGCCATGCGCCTGGCCTCGGGCTTGGGCCTCGCGTCCTCATCCCCGCTCTCGCTTCTTCTCCGTCTCCACAGCGGCGCCGCGGAGGCGCCTTTGGATGCTTCAGAGCCCGGCTCCGGGAAGCCCAGCGGTTGCAGCGGCAGCGGCAGTGGTAGTTGCGGCGGCCACAGCGACGGCGGCAGCGGCGGCGGCCAACCCTCCGCCCGACAGGATGGACAAGAGCAACCCCTCCGGCTCCGGCCTGGGCGGCGGCGGAGCCTCCTCCTCCTCTTCCTCCTCGGCCGGCGCCGGCAAAGGACAGCCGCCGCGCTCTAACTCCGCCGGGCCCGCCGGAGGAGGAGGAGGAGAGTCCAAGCCCAAGGGCGGTAAGGCAGCCCTCCCGGCGCCCCCCCCCCCCGGGCCCCGAGGGTGGGAAACGCGCCTCGCCAAGGGCCCTTGGGACCCCCCCAGGGAGGCCCGGCACGGCCGCCGTGGCGCTTCCAAGGCCCTGCCTCCCCCGAGCAGGCCCTCTGGGAGTTGAAGGCCCAAGCCCTTGTGCGGCCCTGCTCTCCAGGGGGTTCGCCTTCCCTCAGGAACTCCCTCCCTACGGAAATTAGAACAGCAGGTGTTTTCAAAGTCTCTTCCTCAGTCCCCCTTCTCCTCTTAGGTGGCTTGGGGGGGGGGGGGAGAAGCAGCAGGATTTCCTCCTTCTCCTCCTGAGGTGGCAGGCAGATGTAGTAAGCAACAGCCAGGAGACAGGTGTTTTTAAAGTCTCTTCCTCAGTCCCCTTCCTCCTCTTAGCTGGCTTTGGGGGGGGGGGAGAAGCAGCAGGATTTCCTCCTTCTCTTCCTGAGGTGGCAGGCAGATGTAGTAAGCAACAGCCAGGAGACAGGTGTTTCTAAAAGTCTCTTCCTCAGTCCCCTTCCTCCTCTTAGCTGGCTTGGGAGGGGGAGAGTAGCAGCAGGATTTCCTCCTTCTCTCCTGAGGTGGCAGGCAGATGTAGTAAGCAACAGCCAGGAGACAGGTGTTTTTAAAGTCTCTTCCTCAGTCCCCTTTCTCCTCTTAGGTGGCTTGGGGGCGGAGAAGCAGCAGGATTTCCTCCTTCTCCTCCCGAGGTGGCAGGCAGATGTAGTAAGCCACAGCCAGGAGACAGGTGTTTTTAAAGACTCTTCCTCAGTCCCCTTCCTCCTCTTAGCTGGCTTGGGGGCGGAGAAGCAGCAGAATTTCCTCCTTCTCCTCCCGAGGTGGCAGGCAGATGTAGTAAGCAACAGCCAGGAGACAGGTGTTTTTAAAGACTCTTCCTCAGTCCCCTTCCTCCTCTTAGCTGGCTTGGGGGGGGGGAGTAGCAGCAGGATTTCCTCCTTCTTCTCCTGAGGTGGCAGGCAGATGTAGTAAGCAACAGCCAGGAGACAGGTGTTTTTAAAGTCTCTTCCTCAGTCCCCTTTCTCCTCTTAGGTGGCTTGGGGCAAGGGGGGAGAAGCAGCAGGATTTCCTCCTTCTCTTCCCGAGGTGGCAGGCAGATGTAGTAAGCAACAGCCAGGAGACAGGTGTTTTTAACTCTCTTCCTCAGTCCCCTTTCTCCTCTTAGGTGGCTTGAGGGGTGGGGGGGGGGGGGGGGGGGTGGGGGTGGGGGAAGCAGCAGGATTTCCTCCTCCTCCTGAGGTGGAGAGCCACATTTGATCCTTTCTTGTATACAGATTTTCACCGCTGAATGTGTTTATGATGAGGCCTGATGGTATGTCTAGCTAAGGTTGTTGGATTTGGTGACTTGAACTGTCTATTTTAACTTTTTTTTAGTTTTATAATTTTTTTTTAGATTGTATTTATAAATTTGTTGAACAAAATGTATACGCATACACTCTTCCCTCTTTTTACAATATCTTAGAGAAAAGAGTGTGTCATATTGTATACAATCTAACAATAAAAGAAAAAATATCAAAAACATCTTTAAGCATATTTCTTACCATTATTTTTAAATTTCCATTACAATTTATACTACATATAACTGTATCACACACCTTTTATCACTTATACATGTTTTATTTCTTTATAATTATTATTATTATACCGTTCCCCCCCCCCTCGTCCCCTTATCCTTAATTTGTGCCCCCGTAATTTAATTCTTAATTTAAATTGTTTAGAATCATAGAGTTGGAAGAGACCTCATGGGCCAGCCAGTCCACCCCCCTGACAAGAAGCAGGAAAATTGTCTTCAAAGCACCCCCGACAGATGGCCATCTAGCCTCTGTTTAAAAGCCTCCAAAGAAGGAGCCTCCACCACACTCTGGGCAGAGAGTTCCACTTCTGAACAGCCCTCACAGTCAGGAAGTTCTTCTTAATGTTCAGATGGAATCTCCTTTCTTGGTCTGTTCATTTAGTCGGTTACTTGCACATGGCATTGAATGTTTGTCATTTTATTCTATTTTTTGGAAGCCGCCCTGGGTCTCCTAGGGTAGAGAGGGCAGGTTAAAAATAAAGTTTTATTATTACTATTTGAAATACAACAAGATTTAGTACACAGCCAACAGGATCGCTCTGCTGGCTGTTGTATTGGATCACAGGCCAGACCCTTCCCAAGTGTCTAGGACTGTGTGACGTATCGGCGAATAATGCGTGCAGATCCCTAGTAGGGTGGCCTTCTGCAGCTGGTAGATGGTAATTTTGTCAGTGCCAATTGTGTTTAAGTGCAGGCCAAGGTCTTTAGGCACTGCATCCAGTGTGCCGATCACCACTGGGACCACCTTTACTGGCTTGTGCCAGAGTCTTTGCAGTTCGATCTTTAAATCCTTGTATTGTGTCAGCTTTTCCAGTTGTTTCCCTTCAATCTTGCTGTCACCTGGGATTGCAACATCGAGGAGCCATACATTGTTTTTTAACACAATTGTGAGGTCAGGAGTATTGTGCTCCAAAACTCTGTCAGTCAGAAGTCCCAGAGTAGTTTGACATGTTCATTTTCTGTAACCTTTTCAGGCTTGTGATCCCACCAGTGCTTTCTCACAGGCAAATGGTATTTGTGGCACAAGTTTATTATTATTATTTGGGACTTCAGGCCCCAGAAGCCTCTGCTGCTGTGACCAAGGAGCAGGCATTCTGGGAGTGTTGGTAAACCCTTCTCTCTTTGGGTCCTGTTGACACCTGAGGCCTAGTGCAGCGATGGCTGTCAAACTCTAGTCCTTTGAGTATTTTGGACTTCTTTCCCCAGAAGCCCCAGCTGCCTTGGCCAGTGGGCAGGGCCTCTGGAGGCTGAAGTCCAACAGCCCTGGAAGGCCAGAGGTTGAGACACATTCATGATCAAAGGAATGCCTTGACTCCATGCGACAGAATCACAGGAGGAGGAGTTTTGGGAATGTTTTACCTTTCCTCCACACTACAGTTTCTTGAATCCCGTGGCAGTGGAAGGGGCATCAAACTGGACTAATTTGACTGTGTAGATGCACTCTTTGCTTCCTTCTCCTCACCCAAATGCATATTTCCTGTTCTTTGGCACCTTCATAGGAAACAACTCTGGATTGTCTAGATTTTCTTTGAGGAAAGGGTGAGGCCTCTTTCAGGGAGCTGGAGGGCCCTAGCTGTTGTCAGCTTTTGCTGTCAGACGTGGCCTTCCCAAGTCTAAACACAGAAGAAGTTGTGTGTCATTTTATTCAGAATATTTTTATTTAATTTTGAATGACATGAGACCGAGCTTGTGTGTATTGATCCTTTCGGAAAAGGGACCTTGGCCATTTTGGAAGATTTGGGGATTCCCAATAAGGGATGCTCAATCCACACTAGATGATATATGCCTATAAGATGAGAGTCTTTATATCCCCTCATAAATTTTCAGAGGGACCCCGTTCTCATGTTTGCTGTGTACCAGGGTTTGGATTCCGGTTCCAAGGAAACTGCTCTTTCCAGAAAAACATGGTTTTTGTTCATTTAGAGTTGTTTGGTATTTTTTTTTAAACTAGTGGCTTTTTGACAAATGTGAAAGCAAGGACGGTTCATACGTCCTTAAAAGGCTTCACTAGAAACTGTCATGTGGAAGAAGCGCATTGGGCAGATGGGTGTCAGCAGCTGCTGGAGCTTTCAGCCTTTGTTGGGAGAGGTTGGTAGAGCTTTTCTCAATCAAGAAACCCCTGAATTAAAATTATTATAGCTATGTTTTTTGTGAAAAAATATATTCTTTGAGTCTTGGACTTCGGTAGAACCCCTAGTGAGCTCTCACAGAGCCCTTGAGTTGAATGTGTGGCTCTCTCCCCCATCCCTTTGTTGCTGATGTTATTGTTCCCCTAAGCTGTCAATTTTTAGCCCTACTGCCCTTGACAGTTTTGCCTTTTACTGGAGCTAAATCAATTTCAAATATCTCACCATATTGTAGAAATTTAGAGTCTTAGTTTAATATCTTAGCTGACTTCAGAGTCTTGTAATATGCTATTGGAGCAACAAGATTGTATAGTGTGGGGCATTTCTTTGATGATGACTGTAGCAGTGATAGTCCAATAATGAGAGCAGGTTCTGCTGGGTTGTATTGTTGCATGCCTTCAAGTCATTCCCATCCTATGGCATCCTTAAAGAAAACGAATCACAAGTGTTTCATAGCAAGATTAATTCAGGAGTTGTTTACCAGCGTTAAGGAGCTCCCGGTGGTGCAGTGGGTTAAACCACTGAGCTGCTGAACTTGCTTACCGAAAGGTTACAGATTCGAATCCAGGGAGCGGGGTGAGCTTCCGCTGTTAGCTCCAGCTTCTGCCAACCTAGCAATTTGAAAACATGCAAATGTGAGTAGATCAGTAGGTACTGCTTCTGTGGGAAGGTAATGGCACTCCATGTAGTTGTGCCGGCCACATGACTTTGGGGGTGTCTACGGACAAGTCTGGCTCTTTGGCTTAGAAATGGAGAGGATCACCAACCCTCAGAGTCGGACACGACTAGACTTAATGTCAGGGGAAAACCTTTACCTATCTTTACCAGCATCACCTTTCTCTGATGTTGAGAGAAGGTGACTTGCCCAGTGGATTTCCATGGTTGATCCCGCTCTGGAAGAGTCCAAACCAATATACTATATTGGGTATTAGTACCCAATGCATCCTTTTCCCAGTGTGTTTCCCTTATTTGAGGCCTGGTACTTCTGCAAATGTTGCATCTCAGGCTAGAGGCTGTGCTTACTCTGAAGCAGACCCATAGAGATGTCAGGCTTTCTATTTACTTGGGATGATGTTTTAATAGCAAAAGTCTCTACATCTTATCTTTACTACTTTTGGAATTCATTCGGCTATTTTTGATTGACTTAGCAGTATATTAAGGTGAATTGCATCTGCTGGCCTGAATGTTCCAGACAAAGTGCAATAGGAGTCCCATGGTTTCAGGCCTCCCTTCCCTTTCTGTGATTTATATAAATACTGATAACAGTAAATGCAGTCTCTCAGAAAGAGGCATGATAATGCCATCTCTAATTTTATTTCTACCCTCACTCTTTTTCTCCCAATGCATAAATTAGTTACAGAAATTGAAATCCTACTAAAACCAGTTTGATATGAATTGGAGAACAGTAAAAAATACTCTATTTCCTCAAGTGTAATACTCACCTTTTTTTTTTGGGCTAAATTCCCTTACTGAAATTGGGGTGTGTATTAGATCTGTGTGATACGGTAATCTTAGGGCTCTTCCAGATAGCCCTATATCCCAGTATATCTGCTTTGAACTGGGTTATCTGAGTCCACACTCAGATAATGTGGGATTTTCAACATTGATATTCTAGAATATAGGGCCCTTAGTGCTGAACCAAAACAAAAGGGGAAGCAGATTCAGGAGGACCTAGAGCTCCTATTTGAGGGATCTCAGCTCTAATTTAATGGCCATGGCTCAATGCTATTTCATCCTGGAATTTGTAGTTTAGTGAGTCATCACCATTCTTTGGCAGAGAAGGCTCGGGACCTTGTAAAACTACAGCCCCCATGACTGCATAGCACTGAACCAAGGCAATTGAAGTAGAACCATTCTACAGCATAGATCCATCCCAAGGTTTTCCTTTCCATTGCTGGAAGCTTTGGTCTTCTAACACTTGTTTTTAAAAAGGAAATTCTAAGCAAGCAGCAATTGTAATGCACACTTTTTACCGCTGCGCCCTACATTGGACAACAAATCATTTTTTTGTTTTTTGTTTTCAGTGTTTGAACATTGAGGTGTGCATGAGACTCAAGTCAGTATGGTAAAACTGAGTCAGTCCAGTATTTTGAAAAATCTTTTGAAGCATAACAAGAAGGGAAAGACTTCCACCTCGTCATGAAAACCTCCTCTGGACAGCTCAGAGCCTGTGTAAATAATAAGCGCCTTTGCTTGCCAGCAGGACAACAAAGAGAGGGCCAGGAGAGCTTCTTGTTGAAGGAAGTTCCATGGCTCTCAGCCTCACGTTTGTGACGAAAACTAAGGTCTTTTGACGGGAGTTGATAGTTATTGCTTGTAAGGAATGTAGCGTCATGATAACAGGCTTTTGGTGGAGCTAGGGGTACTTTCTTTCCTTGCATGGCGTGACCGTGTGTGCAAACACTGATTGTGTTGTAATCTGCCTAGGCAGCAGTGCAAATGGCGGAGCCTCATGATGTAATCCAATAATCCTATTAAGGTCAGTGTGGCAGTTCTCCTGTTGTAGGATGGCTGGTCTCTTATGGGTCGGCCATCACCAAACGCCCTACTTGTCAAGGAGTCTTCAAAAAGACCCTGGCTTCTCTTGGGGGTTAAACGATCCCGTAGGAGACTAAATTGCAGGCATTCTCAGTCATTTGAAGGTGCCTTTGTATACATTTGATATGTTAATAGAACATTGCATTCATGCAATCACAAAGTAATTATGAATTAAACAAAATCTGCTGGTAGACGTGAACATAAGAAAATACATTTTTTTGTTCAGAATTCATAATTTTTATTGGTCTCTGTGTGAAAGACTCCTTGTGGTTTGTGTGTGAAAGACTCCTTGTGGTGAGATCTTATGTATGCGGTTTATATTCAGCGTCAACGTGGCCTAGCAGTGGGTTCTTTCTTTATGATGCTTGATATTATTATAGTGACAGAAATCCACTTTGCTGGCTAAATAATTACATTTAGAGGGGATTATTGGTAGGAAAGCTAACTTTGTGCTGTAGTTTTCACAACATGTTGCTGAGGGAAGAAACTTTCCACCTGCAGATGCAATTGAAAAGGCAAATATTTCCCCAAACATATTTTGTAAATGAATGTGGATTGTAGTGTACACAAAGGCCCCAGTCGTGGGTCCGAGTTCGTTGTTCACCTTGAGTAATTTCTGTTGATCTTCATAGCAGCTTTCAGTACTGTTGACAATGTTTGGATCCCTTGGTCTGGGATATATTTAGGAGTCTGAATGATTTTGTGTGCTTTTTAAAATTAAATTTCACCAGTCCTTGATGGCCAGCTATTGCTGTGACATGGTCGAAGCAACCTGACTTAAAAGGACTGCCTTTTAATTAAGATTGAGTTCATGAACAGCATAATTAGGACCCCATTTTCCATTCTCATTACTTTCACTGTTAACATTGAGCCTTCTCTCTTTTTAGATGGAAAAAATGCGAATGGATCCAAACAGCGTTATAACCGTAAGCGAGAAGTCTCGTATCCCAAAAATGAGGGCTTCTCGGGCCAGTCCCGTCGCTCCGCTTCACAGAAAAGCAAAGCTTTTAATAAGGTGCCCCCTCAGAGAGGACAGGGCAGCGGCGGCAAGCCTTTTAGTACTTCTTCTAATGGCGGAAGACGAGATGAGGTGAGAGCAACACGCATTTATATGGTTATATAGAGATTCGTTTTCTATAGAAAGACGTGTGAATGTTCACCTGGTATTTTATAGGAAAGCATGGATGCTTAGTACATACAGGGATCCGGTTAAGTGCTTTTACTCCCTTCTTCCACTGGATATGATGGCAGGCATTGTGAGTAAGCTTCACTTTTATATAGTCAGAGTGAAGACATGTTTCCAAGACATTACTGATTTGCATTGATGAAGCTAGTGTGTTTCACTTACAATATTAATGGTTGCAAAGAAGGAATGTAAATGCCAGGGGATTGGACTGGATGACCCTTGGGGTCTCTTCCAACTTGATGATTATGTGTTAAAAAGCTATACTAAACATATAAATACCAGGTTGACTTCATGTCGCGCTGTGTAGTTGCACTCACTATAGGTTTGGAGTGAATGAAAATTATTCCGGAGGCTTGGCTTGTGAATTTATTCAGTGGAAACACATTTCCTAATTGAATCATTCTGAGGTATAAAAGTCAGGCAGCTGATTGGTTTGAGGGTTGCTGTCTGTTACTTCATCTGCTGATGCTGCTTCTTCCATTAAAACATTTGATGCAGACACCTTTGTAGCTGATTCCCTGTAGCTTTGCGCATGTTTGTTTAAGTGGCCTTTATCCAAGCTTCCTGTTGGGCCATGCATCCCAAAGTGACATACATCAAGTCATTTAAACATAATAAGCATAATAAAAAGCTGACACCGAGAATTGTTCTTCCATGCATCAGCCACTCGCTGACTAGTTAAAAGCAGGTTTGTAAAGAAAAAGCTCATGGAAATAGTTGAGTAGATGCAGGGAGGTGTAAAAGGAGGTAGAGCATTGAGATCAATTGAAATAAGAGAGAAAATATTAGTTGAGGACTTGTACATAGAATATGAGAATCCTTTAGCGCAAAAAAAAAAATCAGAATTGGAGAGGAGCAGAGATAGACTATAAGACAAAATATTTACAGACGGAGGGAGAGAATTAGGGAATAGGACAGTCCATTTGAGAAGATTATTAGGAAATGTTTGAGAGAGGAGAAAAAAGTGGCAGGAAACTTGAACAAAGAAATATTAACAGTAAAAGAAGAAATAATAGTGAAAATATTTCAAATGTGGAAAAGGGATATGGAAATTGAGAGGGAAGATATCCAAAGGGAAATAAATAATATAGCAAAGGAAAAATATAATGTACTTAGGGAAGCAAGAAGGAAGATGTACAGGAAAATGGTAGAGGACTCCTGCACAACTTTCACATTTTTTACCAGGGGTAAAGGACAAGTGTTGGCATGGTTGTAAACAAAGAGGTGTATTTAATCACATGATATGGAAATGTGACCGAGTACAGGCATATTGGAGAATGGTTGAGGGAGAAATTAATAGAATGTTAAATCTTCAAATCATCTATCATAATCTATATAAATAAAAATGTAATGTTAGTTCGTGCTACCATCAGAACTCAAAAACCACTGGGGGAATTGACACCAAATTTGGACACAAGACACCTAACAGTCCAATTTATGTCCTCCACTCAAAAAAATTGGTTTTGTCATTTGGGAATTGTCGTTGCTGGGATTTATAGTTTACCTACAATCAAAGAGCATTCTGAACTCCATCAGTGATGGAATTGAGCCAAACTTAGCACACAGGGCTTCCATGACCAACAGAAAAAACTGGAAGGATTTGGTGGACATTGACCTTGAGTTTGGGAATTATAGTTCACCCACATCCAGAGAGCACTGTGGACTCAAACAATGTTGGATCTGGACTAAACTTGGCACGAATATTCCATATGCCCAAATATGAACACAGATGGAGTTTGGGGAAAAATAGACCTTGACATTTGGGAGTTGTAGTTGCTGGGATTTATAGTTCACCTACAATCAAAGAGCATTCTGAACTCCACCAATGATGGAATTGAACCAAACATGGCATACAGGACTTCCATGACCAACAGAACGCACTGGAAGGGTTTGGTGGGCATTGACCTTGAGTTTGGGAGTTGTAGTTCACCTACATCCAGAGAGCACTGTGGACTCAAACAATGATGGATCTGGACCAAACTTGACACAAAAATTCCATATGCTTAAATATGAACACAGATGGAGTTTGGAGGAAATAGACCTTGACATTTGGGATTTGTAGTTACTGGGATTTATAGTTCACTACAATTAAAGAGCATTCTGAAACCCACAAACGACAGAATGGGGCAAACTTCCCACACAGAACCCCCATGACCAACAGAAAATACTTAAGGCCATCCAGTCCAACTCTCTTCACCAGGGCAAGAAAATGTAATCAGAGCCCTCCTGACAAAGAGCCATCCAGTCATAAATATAGATAGATACATATGATTCTCTCTCTCACACACAGACATAGTATCATAGATTTGAAAGAGAACCTTAAAGAAGGACTATGATATGTGGCATATTCCAGAGTAGGCAAACCAGACACTCTCCACATCAACACTGACAAACAACAAGAAATACTGTTTACTCACAAGCATAAAGGAATTACATATATTAGAAACCAACACTTTCTCATTACTTGATTTTCCAGATCACCAGACTGGGCCACAGCAACGCGTGGCAGGGGACAGCTAGTAATAGCAATAAAAATGTATTACGTGCAAGGATACCAGGAGTGTATAATGTGCAAAAGGAAAGAATGATTGACAAATTAATAGCGTGTGCTCAAATTGTTTTAGTCAGGGGCTGGAAAGATAAAATGGACTCTGACAAATTGGCATAACTATATAGTAAATATTAGGCTTTGTTGATTAAAAAAAAAAGTGAAAGGTTCAGTTCACTTCTGAATTTTTCCAAAAAAAGTTGGAACTTTCTGAAACTTCCAAATCGCTTTATTAATGGTGGATGCGATTGCGCAATACGTGGAAAACAGCACTGGCACTAGGGAAACTCCAGGGCCTTCTCCCTCCCTCATTTTTACACCAATCTTGATGAAACTTGATATACTGCTACAACACATCCTATTCTGTTAGCATACCAAATTTCAACATGTTAGGACATGTGAGCAAAAAAGAAGTTTCCAGAAATCACTTTATTAATTTCTCCCTTCCTCCCAAACACACTTTTCCTTCTTCTTTGGAACAGGACTGTTAAGAAATGTTCAAAATATAGACCCCAGAAAAAGAGAGCGACCCCAATAAAAATAGCAAAGCTTTAGTGGTGAGCAAAAAAGATGTTTCCAGAAATGACTTTATTAATTTCACCCTCTCCCTGCCTCCCAAACAAACTTTTCCTTCTTTCTCTCTATTCTCTGACTCCAAACCCTTCCTCACTCAAAATCATCCCTTCTGCCTTGCCTTCCTCCGTTATCCAAAACTCCTTTCCTCTGGCTCCAAACCCTTTCTTCACCCCACACCCAACAGCAACAAGCAGTAGCAGCAACTATGGTCCAATCTTCCCTCTCCCTTCCCTGGCTGCCAATGAGCCTTCCAGCCATGTGCTTGGGTTTATACATCAATGGCTGCCGGATGCTGCAAACCCCTCCCCTCCCCAAAACGTGACCTGTGATTGACAGTGAGGCAAGCAGCTTAGGCTTCGCCTCCCAGCAGGCTTATTTGCATTAAAAATGCTTAATCATAGTTCCAACTAACTTCCGCATCCCTGAAATCAATTGCGCAAGGTGAGTCGAAACTATAGGGGACTACAGCCTCATGGAAATGTGGCAGAAGTCCTTTTGGAAGACAAAACATCAGATTTTTTCCCCCAATTACGCCACATCTGAGCGAACCTATTCAACCCTAGTAAATATGTGGAAATAATGTGGAAATAATAAATTGTAAATTGAACAACATAGACAAAATAGAAAATGTTATAATAATTAAGACCATGTGGGATCCAGTTAGGAATTATTTAGATAATGTTTTAAGATGTGGAGTGGAAAAACTGAGACTAAGACTGATTTCAAATGCAATTTCTGTAGTTTATTGTATAAATTGTATGTCCAGGGGGAAGGGGTGGATGGTGGGAGTGGGGTAAACAATATAATAATAATAATAATAATAATAATAATAATAATAATAATAATAATCGTTTCAAAAAATGAGTAGATGCAGGGAGGCACATTTCCAGTGTAAGTGTCTCAATGCTGAATGCAGAAAGGCCGTGCTGTGGCCCTTTGCAAATGCTTTTTTGATCTGTCTTTCTAGGTAGCAGAGGCCCAACGGGCAGAGTTCAGCCCTGCCCAGTTTTCTGGCCCCAAGAAGATTAACCTGAACCATTTGTTGAATTTTACCTTTGAGCCTCGTGGCCAGGCTGGCCACTTTGATGGGAGCGGCCGTGGCACTTGGGGGAGAAGGAACAAGTGGGGCAACAAGCCTTTCAGCAAGGAGCTCTTTCTTCAGGCCAAGTGAGTGGGTCCATACTTGGATACCTCAGAGAGGTGGCCAGCCATCCGTATCTGTGGAGTTTAGTGGCACTCCAGTGTCCCAGTTCTAGGGCCATAATAGACTGAGTGATATTTATAAAGAAGACCATCTTTTGAAATATATTATTAACATTGAAATGTTAGGTTTTGACCTAAGACAGTTGCATGGGGCATAGCCTCAATGTTTTTCATCCATTGCATTGCCACTTCCATAGTTCTTGTACCATGGGTATGACTCTAGAATCTCTTTCCTTGCTCATGAGGGTAAATGTGCTACATAGAGTGACAAGGCTGTGATTGGGAAAGCCAGTCCTGACCTCATTCTTTGCCCAAAATATTTCAAAACCAGAAATTCCTAGGATTGCTTTAATGTGCAGTTAGTTGATCCTGGAGATGTAGTTAAACATCAGAAGTCTTCTATAAATGTATGGTAACTGGATTTGTGATGCATTGAGAGCAACCTTTCAGAGGTAACCATTTGAGCAGTGGAGATACTTGCCCTGTTTACTTGCCCTTTGGCTTAAGCTTGACTTTTGGAATCAGATGTCATCCTACCGCTCTTAATGTTGTCATAGATCATTGCAATTCAATCTCTTGCTTAGCCGGACCATGTCGCCCCGAATTCTATTCAGATCATTGTTATATGGGATTATCTGTTTCAAAGCCTTGGTTTCTTTTCCCAGTTGCCAGTTTGTGGTGAGCGATGACCAGGACTACACAGTCCACTTCTCTGATCCAGACACCTTGGTCAACTGGGACTTTGTGGAACAAGTGGTTAGTAGGAACCAGCTTGCCTTAAAAGTCTTTATTAGTGGCCACTTATTTTCTAAATGAACCTGTTGCTGAGCTTTATCTTTTAAACAAGCCTTTGAGAACGACTAGTTCTAGCTCAGCCCCAGATGCTGTTGAATATAGCCATATCTTTTTATACCAATTACCCAGTTTACTTCCTCCTATTAGGCCCCGAAAATGAACAGCCATAGACTTTACCTATTGTTGTTGCCTGCTATAGTATTGTACCTAATTTCCCGGGCCCTCTACAAATTGCACTAGCCTCGACCCAGCCTTATAAATTGCCTTGAACAGGCAGGATTATTTTAAATATATATGTGCTATTGTGATTTTTTATGATTATATTCTCTTGTTAATTTTAAGTTTATGTTGTTTACTTTGTATGTATTGATGATGTTACTTGGAAACCGCTCTGAGTCCCCTCGGGGAGATAGAGCGGTATATAAATAAAGTTTTTGTTGTTGTTATCCTCATACAAGGCAGTCTGGGAACAAGTTTTAGAAACGTGTGTGCTTGTGGGCAGAGGGGAAATTTTATTTTTATTTTGTATCAAAAGCATTGCATAAATTAGTATAAAACGGATAAAAATAGGAGCACAAGCAGCTAAATATCTTGACCAAAAACGGGCAACAGCAGCGGCATTGTCTGTAGCCTCCAACAATTCTTCCTCTGTATATGAGGTAGGACATAGTGGACAAGCATACAGATGCGGAGTTGTCTGTTCTGCTCCACAGTCACACAAGGTGGGGGATTTGTTTAGGTAGTGCCATTTTACCAGGTTGTCTTTTGATCTGCCCACTCCACTTCAGAGTCTGTTCAGGGACTTCCAGGTTGCCCATTCTTGGTTTGCTCCTGGAGGAAGACCCTCGTGGGGGCCATTCAATTGGGATTTCCTGGTTTAGCTGCCCAGAGGGATACTCATTCTGTTGCTGAGGGGACGTTAAGAGGAGTGGTGGTTCTCATGAAGGTTTTCCTTGATTTGAGTCTACTGGGAGGAGGCTGATAGCCATGCAGTGGATGGCTTTCACAGTGTTCAACCTTATTTCTCTTACAGTTAGCATCAACTTCCCGTCGCACATTGGGGAGGGGGGCAATGCCAGCTAGCTTGTAGTTTATCAAAATGTGTAAGTTTAAGACATCCTGTGATTATTCTGCATGTTTTGTTCAATACTATGTTCACCTTCTTCGTGTGGGCAGACGTATTCCAAACAGGGCAGGCATACTCGGCAGTTGAGCAAGACAAGGCCAGGGCTGATGTTCTTATTAATTTTGCGTCTGCACCCCATGTGCTGCCAGTAAGTTTCCGCAGGACGTCCTGCGGATGTTATTCCGCAGGACGTTCATGCAGTGTTTCCTATATGTTAGTGTTTGATCTAAAGTGACACCGAGATATTTAGGATGGAAACAGTGTTCAAGCTCTTGATCTTCCCAGGTAACTTTCAATTTGCTGTTGGCTTCATGGTTGTGTAGGTGAAAAGCACACACTTGTGTTTTGGCAGGGTTAGGCTTCAGGTGGTTATTCACCATTAGCTATCCTGGCAACTCATCTATCCTGGCTAGATGAGTTGCCATCCAGCAACGTTTGTAGCACCTTATGATTCTCATTCTGGCTCCAAGGGGGAAGATGCTCCCAATAGATCTATAGAACAGCTTCTTCAACCTGCTGCCCTCCAGATGTTTTGCACTCCAGCTCCCAGAATTCCTGACCATTGAACAAGCTAGCTAAGGCTTCTGGAAATTGAATGCCCAAACATTTGTAGGACTGCAGGTTGAAGAAGCCTGCTATGGAGAATGATACACCAGATTCTTTTGGCACTTTCCAGCGGATTTGCAGCCACGAAGTGCCCTCCTGCCCAATCTGCTTGTACCCGCCCACGGCTGCCAAGATCACCCGCTGTGGGCACATTTTCTGCTGGGCCTGCATCCTGCATTACCTGTCTCTCAGCGAGAAGACTTGGAGTAAATGCCCCATCTGCTACAGCTCGGTCCACAAGAAGGACCTGAAAAGGTAAAGCAGTTCTTGAAGCGGGCGCCACCTTTGCCTCATGCGGCCAGTCTCCTGTCACTTAGTGCTTCCCTTGCCTCGCAGTGTTGTCGCTCTGGAAACCCATCAGTATGCAGTCGGGGACACCATTACCATGCAGCTGATGCAACGGGAGAAAGGGGTCTTGATTGCCCAGCCAAAGTCCAAGCTGACCAATGTGACACAGCCTATCCACCTAGGAGGTGAGTGTCAAGGGTGTCATGGCCTCTTGAGTGAGAAAGAGGTGTGCTTTGAATGGAAGACAGTCATTGCAAGCATCCTGCTGCCAAGATCTTGGCAGTGGTTCTTCAAAGGCCCATCATATTATCTCTAAGCCTCCCTTCAGAAGAAGAAAATCATCCTAATATTCTATGTCGTGTTCCTCTTTGTCCAGATGAACAACACAGCCAGTATTCAAAGCTGCTTCTGGCCTCAAAGGCTCAGGTGCTGCAGCAGGTGATATTGGAGGAGAAGGCTGCTCTCCTGCGTCAATACGAAGAGGACAAGCACACACCTGAAGCATGTTTCATTGAAGCTGCCATCCAGGAATTGAAGGTGAATGCCCTCGAGATTTCACAGGGAATGAGGTCTCCAGTGTATTCTCTGTTCTGTAGCATGATGTCTGTTAATATCGATTCCTTTAAGCATTTCCTTTATGCAGTCCTTTGTTTTAGCAGAATTATGGGGGGAAATCGAGTACATATAAGCATGGATTCTGCTCAGAAAAATAGCTTGAACCAGTAGTTGTCAAGATAGCAGGTAATACATGTATTCTTATTATTGCTCTGAGTTCCCAGAACTGTATTTCAATATTGCCACTGCGGGTTAAACCGCTGAGCTGCTGAAATTCCTGACTGAAAGGTTGGTGGTTTGAAACTTGGGAGCAGGGTGAACTCCCGCTGTTAGACTCAGCTTCTGCCAACCTAGCAGTTCAAAAACATGCAAATGTGAATAGATCAATAGGTACTGCTCCGGCGGGAAGGTAATGGCACTACATGCAGTCATACCGGTCACATGACCTTGGAGGTGTCTACACACAACTCAGACTCTTCGGCTTAGAAATGGAGATGAGCACCACCCCCCAGAGTCGGACACAACTAGACTTAATGTCAAGGGGAAACCTTTACCTTTGCTAAGATATGTGACAGAAGCCAATGTTTGATCATGGTTCCTTGGAAGACTTCTGGCAATTTCAGCATTGGGCCTTGGATCCTACGAGTGAATTTTTTTAGCTTTACTGCATAGTAAAGGGAGAAGAGAGATATTATAGCAGCCAGATGCCTTGTTCTGGAGAATTTGGCTGTATTTGGGTTTAGTTGATGCTGGAGCATCATGATCACCAACTCATTGGGGAGGAAAAAGTCCCAAATATCGAAGTTTAATATTGCGACATGCTATAATGGGCAAGACTTCCTGTTATTCTTGTTGTCAAGCTGACAGAAGAAGTGTATGGCTCTGGTACACCAGGATAAGCAAAGTAGGACCCAAATTGTTGTGTGCATAACATGGTGCTGCTTGGCTTGGCCTTCAGGACCGAGAGGGCATATTGCTGACAGGAACAAGCAACGATGCCAGTGTTGTCGGCGCCACAGCAGCTTTGGAAGAGATGGTTGTGATGGAGCTGCCTGACAAGGAAATAGCAGCAGCAGCAGCAGCAGCAATATCCCAGGAAAAAAAGGTATGACCCCCAAGTGTGTCTCAATTTGGTGCCATGAAGGTCTTTGGAATGGAGTAATCCTAATTTGAGTAGTACGTCTTAAAACTATGTTAAACAAATCTCCCTTTTCCAGACTGATCCCTAGGAAGTGGTGGCAGAGATGCTTTAGGGCACAGTGGCATTCTATAGCAGAGGTTCTTGTGGCTCCAACAGGACGACAAAGATGGCTGCTAACTCTTTTCAATTTCAGCAGTGCGTTATACAATACCTCTCTGCATTTGATGAAGAAATTATGAAGTCTCCTCCTGCGGATTCTGCCAGCGGGATTCAACCCCCATTGGAAATGGAAGAGTCTGCGGTGGTCAACAAGGAAGAGCCTGACCTGGATCTGAGTGAAGTGAAAAAATCTTGTCTGGCTGAATCTGCTCCTGGGAAATCTAGAACGGCACTCAGCAGCAGTCACCCAAGTAGCTCCCCTTTCTACTACTTCTACCAAGGTTAGTGGGATGTTAAGCTGTCGTTGTACTCCTTCTTGGAGAAGGTTAGCATCTGAATCGTTGCACCGACATTGACCTCCAACCCTGACTGGCCTCTTGTGGTGTCTTCGAGCTCCGCATTTCAACAGGAATTATATGCAGTGGGAGCAGGCAATGTGTGGTGAAACCTGGGGCTGCTGTCAGGTGGACGTAGAGGGTAGCCCTGTTTCCCGTGCTTCCAATAACTCCTGTGTCTTTTCTCCCCTTCCTGCAGCTGAGGATGGACAGTGCCTGTACCTCCACCCAGTGAATGTCCGCTGTCTTGTCCAGGAGTACGGCAGCCTGGAGAAGAGTCCTGAGAAGATCACTGCCACCGTGGTGGAAATATCTGGTTACTCCATGACCGAGGTAGCAATACTTCTCATTCCAGTGGTGACTTTAGTGGGCTCCGTTGTGCCAGGCCACTGGAATTAGCTGCATTTGAGACACAGGCGCTTACATATTTTTCCCCAGACCTTTGTGGGAAGCTAACTTTATTTGGTACCTTCCTCAGACCCTTCCTGGCAGCCTGTGGGGGGTGGGTTTGGATGCACTGAATAATTTTGTAGACTTGTATACCTATTCTTGTTACAGCAGCTTCCAGCCATGTATAATTGATTACTCACTGGAGCACCATACAGGGAGCATACCACCCCGTGTTATGTCAACTCCACTGGCTGCCGGTCCATTTCCAAGCACAATTCAAAGTGTTGGTCTTGGCCTATAAAACCCTATTCGGCTCTGGCCCAGCTTACTTGTCCGAACGTATCTCCTTCTACATTCCACCTCGTAGTTTAAGATCAACTGGGAGGCCCTGCTCTCGGTCCCACCAGCCTCGCAGACGCGTCTAGTGGGGACGAGGGACAGGGCCTTCTCGGTATTGACCTCCTCACCTGTGGAATTTGCTCCCCAGTGAGATCAGGTCAGCTTCTTCCCTTTAGGAAAAAACTGAAATCATGGTTTTGGAACCAGGCATGATAGGACTTTGGACATTGAACTGGACTATATGGCTGTGATAATAATGGAAATGACTATATGACTGTGATAATAATGTTTAATTGTTTTTAATCTATTGTTCTGTTGTTTTATATTGCTGTTATTTGTTATATTTGTAGCATCAAATTGTTGCAAATATAAGCCGCTCTGAGTACCCCGTCCCCCCCGGGGTTGAGAAGAGCAGGGTAGAAATGTTGCAAATAAATAAATTGAGAATAGAAGCTAAATAGCACTTGACTTATTAGAGCTGACCACCTTTCTGACAACCTGGCAAAATGGCACTACCTAAAAGAATCCTCCACCTTGTGTGACTCTGGAGCAGAACAGACAACTCCGCATCTGTATGCTTGTCCACTATGCCCTGCCTCATGTACAGAGGAATAATTGTTGGGGGCTACAGACAATGCAGTTGCTGTTCCCCATTTTTGGTCAAAAGATATTTAGCCACTTGTGCTCCTTCTGTTTTTATTGGTTTTATACTAATTTAGGCAGTGCTTTTGATTGGAAATAAATAAATAAGCCACCTTTCTTGCTTGCGGGACGACTTGGGAAAATGCATTCTCTTAAACCCTGGCTCCTTTTTGCAGGATGTGCGTCAGCGCCATCGTTATCTTTGCCATTTGCCTCTCACTTGCGAGTTCAGTATTTGCGAACTGGCCCTGAAGCCCCCTGTTATCTCCAGAGAAACCATGCAAATGTTTTCAGGTGAGCACTCATTTCTGTTTCCATTGTACATTGTTCCTTTGTCAGTCCTCAGCCGTAGTCGAAGAGTTCCTGCTCATATATTTGTGGCTTGTGTTGAGAGAAGAGGGAGTAGCTAATGACAGTGGGATTGTTGGGTTTAGTAAATTTGGGGAAGCTGTAAATGCAGTAGAACCATTAAACCTAAAAGTCAAAATTCTAGGGTTGAGCTTTGAAAGGACTGGCTGGGAGGGATGAGGGGCTGCCGAGAAGTTAGTGAAAACTTGATTTCGCTTTTAGTCCTCTGACTCTCCAAATGTCTCTTAGATGACATTGAAAAAAGGAAGCGTCTGAGACAGAAGAAAGCTCGCGATGAGCGACGTCGGGAGCGCAGAATTGAAATGGAGGAAAATAAAAAACAGGGGAAGTGTAAGTGGCATTCTTAAGTTGGTTCTGTGTCTCTTTCTGTTCTTTTGAATGCAAGGGCTGAGGGTTGACATACTTAGTAAAGTCCCTGAGAGGTGTTAAAGGCTTCCTTGTGCCTGTCTCTGGCCATTTAGTCTGGCATGATAGCCAAGGAGGAGTATGGTTGCACATTTGCGTATAGTGGGATCTAGAACCCAGATCAGTTCCTTGCGTGGACTCTGGTGGTCCCAGGAGATGTTCTTGATTGAACAGGACTGTCATAAAGATGGAGCTTAAGGGGTTTTTTTTGTTTGCTTGCTTAGATCCAGAGGTCCGTATTGCTTTGGAGAATCTGCAGCAGTTCCCTGCCTTCAGTGCATGTTCAGGAGAATCGGATGGTACTGAGAACCAGAGCGTCCCTCTGATGTCTTCCATGAGCAGAAGCCCAGTTTCTCAACCAGGTGGGCAACCAAGTGCCTCCAGAATTAAGTATGCTATGTGTCCCTCCAGGGAGAGAGGGCGGGGTATAAATTATTATTATTATTATTATTATTATTATTATTATTATTATTATTATGCTCTGCACTCATTTGAGAAAGAGCTGTCAGATGACTCTCCAGCTGTGCTTGAAAAGCAGATAGCGATAGTGTCTCTTTCATGGGCTTCCTCTTTGCCGTTTGAATCTTGAGCGTGCAACTTTCCTCCTTACAGAGCCCTTGCTGACTCCGCTGTCTTCTGCCACCAGCCCTGGCAGCCCTTCTTTCGGTCCTGGGAACCTGGAGGAGGAAATGGCCCTCCCCTCATTTGCGGAGGTGTGTGCCCCCTCCCGCTTTGTGCCTGGCTTGGCTTGGGAGGAATTATTTGGCAAATTTACATCCTGCAGTCCACACAATGTTTCAAAGCTGTTGACATTCTAAACATGTGGTTAGCCCCTTACAAAGACATCTCTTTTCTTGTCAGATGCTGAGGGATGGAAAAGCTAAATCAGATACTTGGAATATTTCCCAGCCAAAGAAGAAAGGTGAGCGATTGACAGAGTCTTCTGGTGGAGTGTCTTCAAGAGGCAGGGGTTTTCAAGACTCGGAGCATTATCTCCGCTTGGATCCTGCCTTTCTTTTTCAGTCAGAAGGCTAACTTTTTAATCATATTTTTGGGTGGCATGACAGGAGAAAGAGGCAGGAAAATTAAGTTTTTTAAAAAGCCTAGCATTGATAATCAAAAGGAGGCTCAGATTAGGATTGTTATCAGAATAAAAAGTCTTTGCCTTTATGTGGGTATCCATTCCATGGTACAGTGCTTGTGGGAGTGATCTGTTTGCCTCCAGTGAGCTAAAAGCAGTTGTTTCCTTTCAGAAACAAGCGGTTGTTTCCTTCCAGAGAATGCTAACCTGGCCCCTCCAGCTCCAGTGGACAGCGATGGGGAGAGCGATAGTTCAGACCGTGTTCCTGTGCCTAGTTTCCAGAATTCCTTCAGCCAAGCTATTGAGGCAGCCTTCCTAAAACTGGACAAACCATCCACTTCCGACCACCACTTGGGTAAGCGGAGGAACAATGTTCAGCTCCTTAATCCTGACGCAATCATCACTCCCTCCCTCTTAAGGCTCCCGTTGTCCCAGCCTTCTCCGTTGTGGCCCCTTGCCTTTGGAACTCGCTACCTATTGAGATTAGGCAAGCCCCCAGCCTGTCATCCTTTAAGAAAGACCTAAAAACCTGGCTCTTCCGGCGTGGCTTTGACGAGTGAACACATATCCCCATGTCATGTTCATCCCAACTACAGTTCTGTCCTCATAATGCACTTTTCCTTGTCTTTAATGAAGGCTCAATCCCATTGGTCGCCCCTTCTGATCTCCCCCACAGACACATACTTATCTCACCAAGGGTTTTATCAATCTTATTCTGTGCATTTGGCCCACCCATCGTGCTTGTATTTTATTTCTTCATCACATTATTTTGCATGTTTATTTAATTTTTGTTATTTTATGTATTTTATTTTGATGTTATTATTTGCTGTTTGTATTTTCTTTTCTTTTGTTGTATTGTAATTCTGGGCTTGGCCTCATGTTAGCCGCCCCAAATCCCCTTTGGGGAGATGGTGGTGGGGTATAAATAAAGATTATTATTATTATTATTATTATTATTATTATTATTATTAATTAAATGGCAAGGGCATTGGTGGCCATGCCTCAGGAGTACTTTTTGATCTTAAAGAGCAAAGAAAAGTATAGCAAACCTAGTTAGACCACTGCCATACTCAAATGTGGAGATTATACCGACACCAAGATGGGGTTGCATTTGGGGCGTGATTCATCTAGTTTAGCAACTCTGGCAAGGTGTTCCTACCAAAGGCCACCTAAGGCTTGACTCTTGTTCCTTTGCAGAGCAAAAAAGAGGCAAGAAGAAGAAGCAGAAGCAAAAGCTGCTCTTCAGCACTTCAGTCGTCCACACCAAGTGACCCTCCTAACAGACTGACTCGGCCTCCTGGTTTCTTTGTTTGCTTTTGTGTTTTTTTTGCTGCTATAGAAAAAAAAGGTATTTAAACAGGGGGCAGAATAGGTTTGTTTCTGGGATGAGGGGGTGGGCTTTAGGGCATTTTAATGAAGCAATGGGTTCAGTTCATTTTGAAGCAAAAAGTATTGAAATGCAGATTGGGAAGCCAAAGTTTCAGGGTTGGACCGGGCTTAATGCCTTTTGCCTGGGATGAATTGTGCAGCTGCCTTTGACACTCAGGAGGCAGAGAGAGGGCTTTGAAAGAAATGGAAACGAGTGTGGCAGTGGGCAAAACATCCCCTTCTTTGTCTGTTCCCCCCCCCCCCTTTTTCTGGAAATGGGGAGATAAATGTACTGGGCCATTGAGCACTCCTGGACTGTGTGACATCCATGGACTCCAAATTCCTCACAAAGAAAAGGAGTGGAAGCAATTCAGCTCCTGCTCAAAGTTGAAGGACTATGTGCTGTCCAGGGTCAAAATGCCATTGTATTCAATGAGGCAAGAGACACTCTTGGCCTCCTGGTGCTAATTTGATCACTTGGAGGGAGAATTCAAAATGTGTGCTTTCCTTTAGTTAAACAGGGTTCTCTTCAATGTGCAGCAGGCTGTCCAGGACGTTTGGGCCTTGTGTTTTCTTGGCCCTGGGGTTCAATTGGGGTTGTATTCTGTGCATTTAAGCCATCCTTCTCTCCCTCCTTCCCACCTTATTTTTCTTTTTCGGTGTGTGGAGAAGTCTCCTTTGGCACTGCTTTGTGGCTTGATCTGAAACTAATTCCTACTAAACAAAAGTGTCAGTTCCGTTGAATACGAGGGACATGTCAGTGTACTATACCAGCAAATAGTTGCAATAAAACCATATGCACAACAGCGGTGGTTCGAGTGTGCCTTTTTTCCTCAGATTGAACCTCTTCCTTTGCGGCCTACTCCTGGTTGGTCACATTGAATTGGCCTCTTTGACCTGAATCAGGATCATGTGCAGAGGGGGAGCTACAAGGGGGTGGGGGTATTTCTGTCCCCAAATGTCTAGCATTTATGGTCCTTCAAACTTCCACTGGGCCTTTTGAAGTACCTTGGGTATCAAGAAAAGGTGTGAAGGATTGCCAGGGTCCTTCCCTCCGCAGTGCTAGAAATTGGGGGTTAATTCATAGTTGGGGGGGGGGGGGGGGGATGCCCTAGTCTTACCCCTTACCACCATAAGGAATGTTGCTGCCTTTTTCACTGATCAACTAGAATGGTTCTACTGGTAGAGGTGTTTGATGTATACAAGTCGATCTTTAGCCAGAGCCATGAGGTGCGGTTGAAGGCAGACAATACCATGGGGTTGTGGGATCTGCTTAGGGTTTGGTTCTCAGACACCCCCGTGGGTGCTCAGGTCCCATTATATATAGTGATGTCCCTTGTATAGAAGCAAAATCAAGGTTCAGCTTTTGAAATTATTTTTGGGGAATATGTTCCAGCTGTGGGTGAGTGGACATGGAGGGCTGACTGTAAGCTCCACGCAGCCCATTTCTCCAGTACCATTCATCTTTTATGGCTGCTGCAATCACTAGGATTCCAGCTGGTAAACCAGGACTGAGAAACATGTATTCTACAAAGATGTGTTGCAGATAATTTCCCGTTGTTCCTCACAACTGAGTTTGTGGGTCTTGGCCTGCGGGTGGTTGTCCCTTAGCTTCTCCTATCACGCTTCACACACCTTGGGTTACCTGGTAAAAACAGTGCCCTTGTATTTGAAATGTCCCCTCTGTGTACCAACAGGGAAAGCTTTGAAGTGGGCAAGATAGCAAAGATCTGAACTGATGTCCAGCCACATCAAAGGGGGCTGCATGACTATGAACTACAGAGTTCTTTAGGTCTTAAAAATGAAATAGCAATGTGATTCCTTATATTCCAGGAAATAGGTAGAAACTAGATGACTACTCTTTGTTTTTAACTTATTTTATCAACACATAAAATCAACACAGGCAAAAGAGAGTGGAGGGAGGGTTTCACTCTTGCTGGGAAGCACCGTTGAGACTGTCTGTTATGGCTGTCTGGAGGAGAGGAGCGGCTCAATCCATCGCCGTGCTGTCCTCACTTTCATCTTTGCTCTCAAAGGATGACTCTCCTTCAAGCGCCCAGCTCTGGACTGACTCCTGGATGGCTTGTTTGTCTGCTACAACAAGTAGGAAGAAGAGCTCTCAACACACGCTGTGCTTGATACGGCTTCTCAACCAGCCCCAAATATGCCAGGGAGCCATTTGTGTAGAGGACAGCCGGCCCATCGTTCTGGATTTATTGGCAGAGATCTTACCATGTTCCATCCCCTATTAGATGGCCCTAGATATCTTGAAACCTTGGTCTCATTTTCAGTCTGTTCCAGGAAATAAGCAGTGGATTTACCTTCACTGGTGCAATTGTCTAGCACCGACAGCAGATGGTCCTGGTTGTAATGAATTAGGAATTTCTGACAGGTGCGGATTGTGGCTGAGAAAGAACAAATCAGCAGTGTGTCAGAAACCATAGATAAGGACTCTTGGCTGAGAAGAAACAGTATGAACCCCTGTGATGTCTTGAAGAAGTAAGTTCTCTGCACTATGCAATTACAGAGCAATTAGTCTCAATTTAATGCAGTGGCTGCATCCTGTGGAGTGTGAGTTTGGCTGAGAATTCCAAATAACTGCCAATCTCCAAATGCCATGGCAGTTAAAGTGAGAGCCAAATGTTGTAACTGCGTACTGTGAAAAAAAACCCAAACTGGTTAATTGCCATAAAGGAGGGGCACACTATAACTTAACCACACAAGGACCAAATGTCAAGGCTTCAGGTGTTTTAATGGGCCAGTGATCATGCTTTTAAAAGGACTTTTTCATCAGCCACCCCAGGACTGTGAAATGACCTGCCAATAGAGCTCTGACAGATCAGCTGTTGGAATTTAGAAACCATGTAAAAACTGATCTCTTCCAGCAGGCCTACCCAGCAAGTCTTTAAGCATGAATGTTAAATGCCTGTCTTGTGTTTAATCTCTGTATTGTGTATTTTAATGTGCTTTAGTAGTAGCTTTTATAGAAATACATTTTAATATGTGGTTTTGCAGTACTTTCACAATGTTTGTGTTTTAGTTATTCTGTGACCTGCCTCAAGCCACAAGGAGAGGCATAAAATTATTATTATTTTTAAAAAGAGAACTCACCTCCAATATGCAGCATATTAAATGAACAGGGATAGCGCTGGTTCTTGTTCTCTAAGTGAGTGATAAAAGGCAACGACGACCCAAGGAGCCGATAAAAGTCTCTTCGGCAACATAAGAGGACGATCCCAGTGTAGGCATTGAGGTACTTCACTGGGGGCAGAAATGAGAAGAGAGCAATGTTTCATTGGGCAGGGAAAAAGCAAAGCTTTCCTGAATGGTTTACTATCAAAAGACTCGGAAGATTTTGGGACACTTTGGGCTGCTTGCTTCATTGTTAAGTAGTTGCAGGTTGTCTTTGGTAACTGCACAAAATCGCAGACTATTGGAAGAAACTCGAGAGGAGCTTCAACTAGTTTCTCCTAAGGAAGGAGAGAGCTACCGACCTGAAAAGGCAATGGAGCAGCAGGCCAAGCCGAAGTCGCCATACATCCGGCCCACTATGTTCTTCACTGCACTGTGCACCGTGCGCTCCTCAATGAGCTGGCGGCAACGCGGGTCTTCACACAGTATCTCACAGAGGAAGTACCTGCGAAAACAAAAGGGACGGCCGTCACAGGAACTGAACAAACTAGCAGCATCCACACTAGAATGAATTACTGTTTGGGACCACTTGAACTGCAGTGGCTCCATGCTGTGGGATTCTGGGAGTTGTAGTCTGGCACATTTTGAAAAAGTCTCCCATCTTCCCTGCCAATCGACAACTGTCCTGATTCCATAGCATGGAGCCATGGCAGTCACATCAACAGCATTAATTCGACAGTGTAGATTGGAGATGGGACTCAAGCCTAAACATGGAATCAATTTCTGGTCAATATACACAGAGCCTGAAGGTCATTTTAAAATTATTATTTAAAGGATTATTATTATTATTATTATTATTATTATTATTATTATTATTATGTTCATTATGTTTATACCCCGCTTTTTTCTCTCCACAATGCAATGGCAGGGCTTAGAAAAAGTGCCTCACCTGGGTTATATATATGCTGACTGGGGGGTTCTGGGAGTTGTAGTCCCCTCAAAGGAACTCCTCCCAAATGGCCAATGGCTAGATCGAGAAGATGCTCTCCACAAGAGGTACACAAGTAGCTGAATATTTGTAAAAGATTTAAAAGACTGGTTTTTTATATTTAAAATTCCCTTTTAAAACTACATCTCCCTCAATACTGTAGTTTACATTATTATGTAAAACATATTTTATTGGATTGAAATATATATTTTAAGTAATTGCAATTATATTTGGCATGACTTCAAAGTATTTCAAATATTCTATTTTACAATGATTTAAAGATATTCTATTTTTCATAATTTTAAAAGTATTCTATTTTGCATAATTTTAAAAGTATTCTATTTTGCATAATTTTAAAAGTATTCTATTTTACATGATTTTAATTTACTTTTAAAGCGTTTGCAATCTCTAAAACAGGAAATATATTTTTACTCAACTTTTTCCGTCTGCAGTGACCATCAGGCTATATGTAGCTGAAAGAGTCTATGAAGGATATACATCAACTTCATGTTGAGACTTGGGCTACATCTACACTGGATGGTTAACACGGTTTCATCTCGTTTGAAGTGCTCGGGCTCCATGCGGCTCACCTGTTTTTAAATCTCACCATCTCTCTTCCGGAGAGCCAATGCGGCAGCCGCCGCCGGAGAAGGAAAGGCTACAGTCTCCGAGTCTGACTGGCTGAAGCGCTTAATATCCGTTAGGCTTTTAACGCCCACTTCCGGAGGACCGTCGTATTCTAACCCTCCCAACTCTAGGGGGGGGGGGGAATCCATAGAGAAAATATAGAAGTGACGGAACGCCTCGACTTCCGGGTTTCTTCACGCAGCTATTTCCTTCCTCTGTTGTCAGAGCGAAGGCGAGCTATGCTATCAAGGCACTTGGCTGTTCCGAAGGGGCGGGGATGACTGACGTAACGAGAAAGCCGCCTTCCTATTGGCCCGCGCGTAGCTGCATGTGCTTGGCAATCCTAACAGTGGGAACGACTTCAAAAAAAGTTGCTAAGCCGGCCGCGGCTTTTCTCCGCCTGACCAATCAACACGCGGCTCGCGCGTTGTGACCCCACCTTTCCTTGAGTTTAAATCGGATTGGCTCTGACTACCTATCCGTCTCGTGGAAACGCATTTTGATTAGTTGGCCTGACCGCACGCGCGGGAGGGAGGGCAAGGTCGAGGCTATAAAAGCGACTCTTTTTTTTTTTTTTACCTCAGAAACAGAACGAGCTTGTGAGCCGGTCTTTGTCGCCTTGTAGTCGATAGGGGGAGCTCGCGCCGAGCTTTGAGGCGCCAAAGCGTTTCCTCCCCAAAGACGAGGGAATGCGTATTATATAAGAGCAGCACGATGGTTCTCTCAGAAAAGCAGAAATACAATACAGGGTGAGCATGCCTTACATAAGAATTCAAAAATGCTGCACTCCCAACATTTCATGTGCAAAATTATTTCAGATATTGTGAGGAAAATTACCTCAAGCGAGATGTCTATGAAGCAGACATGACATTCACGTCGGGGTGTCTCTACATGGTGGAATTAATGCGATTTTGGACCACTTTTTTCTGTTTGTTTGTTTTTAAAGGTTTTAAAATTATATATACATACATAGACACATACACTCTTCGAAATTCAACAATCGAAGTACAAGTATTTTTTCCCCAATCTCACCACCTCCCCATTCCTTCCTGATAACTGCTACCCTTGACTATTATTTTTATTTATTTATTTATTTACATCACTTATATCCCGCCCATATCAGCCCGCAGGCAACTCAGGGCGGTCTACATATCGGCACAATTCGATACCATCAATACAATACAAAAGCAAAAACAATTAAGTGCATTTAGACAAAAAAGACAGTGCAATAACAATTTAAAAAGAGCTATATCCTCTCATTCCAATCCTCATCCATTTCGTCGTCTTGGCTGTTCCTGGGTCATTCTCCATCTCAAGCTTGACTATTCCGGGGTTCCGAATGCCTGCTCGAAGAGCCAGGTTTTCACTCTCTTACGGAAGGTCAGGAGGGAGGGGGCTGATCTAATATCCCTAGGCAGGGAGTTCCACAGCCGAGGGGTCACCACAGAGAAGGCCCTGTCTCTCGTCCCCGCCAAGCGTGCTTGCGAAGCAGACGGGATCGAGAGCAGGGCCTCCTCAGATGATCTTACTTCCTGGAGGGTTCGAACACATCTCTTCCTACAAACCCTCCAGGAAGTTAAGATCATCTGAGGAGGCCCTGCTCTCGATCCCGTCTGCTTCGCAAGCACGCTTGGCGGGGACGAGAGACAGGGCCTTCTCTGTGGTGGCCCCTCGGCTGTGGAACTCCCTGCCTAGGGATATTAGATCAGCCCCCTCCCTCCTGACCTTCCGTAAGAGAGTGAAAACCTGGCTCTTCGAGCAGGCATTCAGAACCCTGGAATAGTCAAGCTTGAGATGGAGAATGACTACTCTTTACATAATGTAAAGGTACAGGAATGCTATTGAATATTTATACGTCAGTATGTTTGAACGTTTAATCATTTCCTCTGGTTACCATATTATACATAGCCACCTGTCTAAGGTTCTCAAGAGTATTCATTTTGTTTTGTTTTGTTTGAATATTTTTATTTGGAATATGTTGCTCCTTAGATAGAGCGGATAGAAAGAGAACAGAATAAATGGATCAGAAAAGTCAAAATACAGAGTTTACATGGAAAGTGTGAGAACAATGTTTGCAGAGAAAGTTGAGAAAGGCATTTAAGGGTAGATAACTTTGAGAAAGGTAGGGAAGGAGGGGAGGCAAAACAAAACAAAACAAAACAAAACGAAGCCGAGAAAAAAAAACCAGTGGTAACAGTGGCAACAACAACTATAATAGCAACAACAGCTACAATAAACATAATCAGAAATATCAGTTAAAATACTTCCAGGAGTTTCCGGGCAGAAAATTATGAGATAACCCTTGGTTAATCTCTTTGTTGTCTTTTCCTTTGTAGATGACTCGTCAGCTTTTTATTGATTGTCCTTTGAGTTTCTTCATTGTACATTACTGATATAAATTTCCTTATTTAGCCCTTTAATATACTCTAGAAAATTTCCCCAATGTATCTTGCGTGGTTTCATTATGCTCTGTGACATTTTTTGGGTCAGAATGTCCATGTTCATGATATCCCATACTTTTAGGAGCTATTGCTCCACTGTTGGGGCTTCCTTAGCTTTCCAGATTCTAGCAAGTACTATTCTTGCCGCTGTGGTGAAATAGAAAAATAGTTTTTCTGAGTTTTTGTCTTTGATGGAATCAATGATTTCTAGTAACATTGTTTCTGGTTTAAATTCTATTTTTTCCTTTAGTATTGTTTCACTCATTTTATAAATTTCGTGCCAGAAGTTCTTTATCATTTTACATTTCCACCACATGTGGAAATAGTTTCCTTTATGCTTATCGCATTTCCAACAAATGTCACTAATTTTACCTTTATTGTATTTAGATATCTTTTCAGGAGTAAGGTACCATCTGTAAAATGTTTTATACCAATTCTCCTTCAATTCGGAAGCATAGGTATATTTTATTTTGTTACACCAAACTTCCTCCCACTCAGTCATGTTTATTGATCTACCTACATCTTTGGACCACTTAATCATGTTTTCTTTTACCTGCTCTAGTTCAGTTGCCCATAATAGCAGTTGTTGGTATATCCTTTTTATTAATTTGGTTTCTGTTTTTATTATTTTGTCCCAGAAAGTTTCCTTTAGCTGGAATCCCACTTTGGTATCTATTTTAAAGTTTTCTAATATCTGTTGGTATTGGAACCAGGAGATGGTTTGATCTACTTGTTTTAGCTCTTCCTGGGATTTAAGTTTTGTCTCTTGTGCAGTTATCTTGAGTAATTGGGTGTATGTTAACCATTTCTCTCTAGGAATTTCCCTGAGGTGGTATGCTTCATTGGGTGAGAACCAGAGGCGGGTCCTACTGTATAGTCTGTCTTTGTACCTATTCCATACTTGTAGGAGAGCAGGTCTCGTCGGATGATTTCTGAATTTCTTTTCCTTCTCTGCTTTTCCTCTCCATAAGTATCCGTGCCAGCCCTGCGCCAGATCAAAGCCTCTAGGACCAGTATTTTTCACTTGTTCAGGTGATACTGCCTGAGCTCTGCAAGTGCAGCATTTTTCCAAATGAAGCAGAGTGTGTTCTGGAACAGCTGTTCCAGGAGCTCCAATTTTATTTGCTTTGAATTAAATGTTGGTTTGCAATCCCAGGCTTGGGATTTTGCAGCAGGGTGGCTTCCTGTTATAGTTTGCAATCATAGGGCAAGCCACCTGTCAATAATAGTAAGGGTCCCTGGTCCCGTCCCTCTCTGGTTTTTTGGAGGGAAGGGGCCATTTTTCAGTTAGTCTCAGCAAAGGAAGTCAATGTACAGGACGTGTACAGACTTTCTCCTGTACAAAGGCTTCAACCCTTAAGACCTCCCGGGGGAGAACAGTCTTAAGAGCATCTAAAGATTCCCAAAGGTTCCCAGGGAAACAGCCTTACAGCCCGAGGAATTTCGGAGGGAATAACAGCTTTAAACATCAAGAACTCCAGCTAAGTGACTACAGGCCTACTGGTAGGTCCACTGTTGAGACGCAGTTCAGCCGGTAGTGGATTCAAATCAGTCAGGTTTAGGTTCACAGCAGCCCGGGAGGAGCTAGAAAGGGGAATTTTCCTTTAAACAAGGTTTTTTGAAGATAGTGCCTGTTCCCTGTGAACAAGATTGCAAGAGACTGTTAAGAAAGACTGTTATATTTAAGCTCAAGCATTATAAAGCCTGTTTAATAAGGGAAATTTCTCTAAAGGCTTCTTTTTGGGGCCCCTGGCTTCCCGCTGGATCCAAGCCATACACCCTCTCTTAAAGGCACTTCATTTCAGGTCCAGCGGTGACAGAACAGAGTGTTTGAGGACCAGGACATCCATAAGGATACTAAGTTGCTTGTCTATAAAGCTATTGTCCTCCTAATTGATTCCTGATGGCTCTTGGGGATTTTCCCGCCTCCTTGGCAAGTGACTCTGTCGACGCTTTGGTCTCTCGCTGGGACAGTGAGATGACCAGGGCAATTGATACAATCGCTCCAGAGTGCCCCCTCTCGAGTAACCGAGCTAAACCTGCTCCTTGGTTTACTGAGGAGCTGGCAGCGATGAAGCGAAAGAAGAGGAGGCTAGAGTGTGTGTGGCGCCGAAGACCCTCCAAATCAGCCCAAACACATCTAGATACCTTTCTAAGGTCCCATGACGTGGCAATAAAGGCGGCACAGAAATCATTTCTTGCTGCTAATATTGCATCTGCAAAGAAAAGTCTGGCTGAACTATTCCGAGTTGTCAGAGGACTGTTAAACCTGCCAAAGAGCGAGATCCCTGATGACTAGGTGGCTCGCTGTGAAGCATTTGCTCGATTCTTTGCAGATAAAGTTGTGCTGATTCGGTCTGATTTCGACGCCATGTTAACAGCAGTCTCTGAGGATGTAACACGAGCACCTGCTTGTCCGGTTTTATTGGATTCGTTTCAATTGGTTCAGCTTGAGGACGTGGACAGGATCCTTGGAGAAGTGAGACCTACCACATGCATCCTAGACCCCTGCCCATCCTGGCTGATAAAAGAAGCCAGAGGGGGTTTGGCAGAGTGGGTAAAGGTGGTGGTTAATGCCTCCTTACAGGAGGGAAAATTTCCAGCGAGCTTAAAACAAGTATTATAAAACCGCTGTTGAAA